TGTGTGGACGTGTCCAGGCTTAATTCGGTTTAACGCCGCTAAAGTCGACCTAAACCCGTAGTGTAGACCAGGCCTTAGACTATATCAGACATTTACCTCTCAGATTCATCAGCTGCCAGTGTGTCTCTTCAGAATATTGCAAAGCATATGTTCAAAATAAAAACGCAGCAGTCGTTTGTCTTTGGGTGTTTCGTTATCTTTGCTTTTAGAGGATCTGGGTTTGAAGTGCAGTCAACTTAAAGCAGAGCTTCGTTCCCTTCTCCTACCTACACACTTTCCTTCCTTAAGACGTTCCAGTTAGGGTGAGTGGGTTTGGTTTGGTTTTTAAATGCCCTAATCTTCTGGAAGTGTCCATTTTCATTGAGATTTTTCCACTCAACAGCTGTACATCATTAACTCCCCATCACAAAATTCAAACAGTGGGCCAGTCTCAGATTTTGCAGCTGAACTTTTTTATAATGATAATGTTACCCATTATCACAGTTGCCACTTCAGCATAAAGAATCAGGTATTATAAATAGATATCATAAAGAGCCACATCAGTTGGACAGTAACGTGGGAGACATAACCTCTAAAACAGGCTTCTTGGATTTTAGCAACCACGCATGGAGATAAAATAGGCAGCTGTTAGTGAAAAGGAGAATATTTTCTTCACCCCATTTCTCCATGTGGAGTATCTAAATAAGAAGAGATATCGAAGTGAGACGAAATAATGAACACATGGAGGCAGAGAGTCCCAGCCAGCTGTAGGCACATAAACCCCTCTATCCATCTCCCAACAAAGGGCAGAAATAATTTCCAGTCTTTAGGGAAGGTAAAGCAATATGAAAAAGGCTGCAAAAACAAGAGAAATTAAGTATCACAGTAAGTCGCATTCATGTGGTCACATGCATACTATTACAAGCACTCTGTCATGTGGTAGGGTATGATAAATCAATCGTGCCGTGGTGGTCAGGCTGCTTGTCAAGACTTACTGTTACATTTCAGTGTTCAGATTATTGGTGTGTGTATGTGTTTTATGCTTTTCCATCCCCTAACCACTATTGTCCGTCTCAGGGCACTCAGGGTGCGAGAAATAAACATTTGTTTCCAGCAGACAAATGAAAGCCAAGGTAAACTCCACTGGCACATTTCCATTTGTGGCTTTGTTAAGGACACTCTTGATCAGGGAGTTGCATGAAGTAGGCGAACTGCCTTCCTGATAAGCAATCCATATACCTGCCTGCCAGTGCCACAGAAAATGAATGGAGGGTTTTGTTTTGGCTTACTCCTTTCTCTTGGGGGGACATGGATCAGTGTTCACGTCGTGCTCCCAGTTAGTACCCGGCCCAGGCTGGGGAAACTAATGATCCAACCAGTGCACCAAATTCAGTGATGAATCCTGGTCACATGCCACTAGAGGCACATTGCACATATGAAGTCTTAAGACTCCATTCCCTTAGCAGAATCAGATTTCTCTGCCATGTGGAAATAAACCTAACAAAAACCAGGGCATCAAATCCATAGTATTATATTTTATTGTACAATCTGGTAAACAGGACACTCAGCTTTGGAGGATCCAGGTGACCGAGGCCCCGGAACTGCTTTTCCTGTCCTGTCTGGGCAGGACCAGCCCTGTGAACTAGGCAGCATCGCCGTGACAGCGGGGACACCCGTGGCTGTGGCCACGTGTTCATAAAAGGCCAGGCAAAGCAAACCTCCCGCCCACCGGGAGAGGAACGGGCCGTGCTCAGGGATGCTACCCAGGGCACCAGGGGTCAAGGCGGAGAGACAGACAGACCGACAGAGGAAGGTGTCTCCAGGCGCAGCCAATCGCAATCCCCGGCGCTCGCTCCCACCCCCTGCCCTGCAGCCGGCGGCGGCCGCGCCGCGTGTGACCCTGCAGACGGCGGTAGCTGGTGTGTGGCGCTTGTCTCGGCCATGCCGTTCCTGGAGCTGGAGACCAGCCTCCCGGCCGCTCAGCTGCCCCAGGGCTTCGCCGGCAAGCTGTGCTCGGCCGCCGCTGCCATCCTGAGCAAGCCCGAGGAGGTGAGTCTCCTGCCTCGGCGTGCGCAGCGCAGCGCAGCGGCCTCGGGTCTGGCCGCGCAGGCTGGATGCGCCCTTGCAGGCGGCTCCCCTGCCGGAGCAGCTGGGCCTGCGGCCGATGCACAGAACTTGTCCCTGGGGGGGCAGCACCAGCAGCGAGTCTGTTTAGTGGCAGTTGCTTTGCCCACTAGACCCCCAGTTCTGCTGGCCCCGCACCCCCTGGGGGGCATGGGCTAGATGGGAGGGGGTCCTGGTATGGGAAAGACTGAGAATCACTGGTCTAGGGCCCTCTGGGGGGCCGTGAGCAGGTTTCGGGGGGCACCAAATAGGGTCAGCATTAGACTCGCTGGGGCCTAGGCCAGAAAGCCAAAGTCCCACTGCGTGGGTCTGAAGGCTGAGGCCCTGGACCCCACCCCCCGGGGCTGAAGCTGAAGCCTGAGCAATGTAGTTTTGCGGGGGGCCCTGCAGCACGGGGTTCCAGACAACTGCCCTGCTTGCTACCCCCGAATGCTGGCACTGGCTTTTCTGTGCAGAAAACGAGTTATTGTGGCACAGATGGGCTGTGGAGTTTTTGTAGTAGGGGGGCTCAGAAAAAGGTTGAGAACTCCTGGTCTAGGGCACCCTAATAGGAGGGAAATGGAAAGGCAGGATTCCCCTGGGGTGCATGGGGTGGGTGGCCCAGGGCACCAGCTCCTCCTTATGACACACACTGCTCATATCTGTGAGGCTCGTGTTCTGTTTCCTTCCCTCCCATGGCTGTTTCCCTGGGTGTGCCCTTGTGCCCGGCATGGCAGAGGATAAACGTCACTGTGAAGAGCGACTTGCCCATGGTGGTTGGCGGCTCCGCAGCGCCCTGCGCTCAGCTGCTCGTCTCATCCATCGCAGTGGTGGGAACCGCGGAGCAGAACAGAGGGCACAGTGCCAAGTTCTTTGAGTTCCTTACCAAGGAGCTGGGGCTCGGTGCAGACAGGTGAGTGCAGTGCAGAGAGCAGGGGGAGATGAATGCAGCAGGTAGAGGGGAGTTTCATGCAGTGTCCCAGTGAGACCCAGATCAGTGCTGTGTGGAGCTTCACTAATCAAGGTCTGTGTTTAAGTACAAGTAGGGGAAGCTTGTAAGAGGCCTTGGCAGGGAGGGTCTCCCTCCTCCAGTCCTCCTGATTTCCCCCCTGCCCCGTCAGTAATTTCCTGCACTCGTTAGACAGGGCATCTTCCTTCTTGCTCCTCTCCTGGCTTTCTAAGGCGGAGCCTAATTGTGAGAATGAGGGGTAGAGTCCCAGGTGTAGTCAAAGCCGAGTTACCCCCGAATGCACTGGTGTAATGATGGGATCAGAGAGAGCCTGGTGGCTCATGAGCAAGGATTTTGGGGTAGAGGGGTTAGAAGCAGAGCTGCATTGGCGTGAAACCAGAGAAAGAGGAGATATGGTAATTGAATGTCATTATTCTTACAGCTGGATGAATTAGGTTCCCCTATTCTGGTACTTAGCAGCTCTGACTTCACGTCCCCACTATGTCATATAAAGCCCACTATACTATTAGTGTCATGCTTGATCCAAATAACTCCTCAGTAGGGCTAATTATTGTCAGAATTTATTCAGTACAGAAAAAATAAAATGTATTTTTCTATTTAAAGAAAAGGCCAGACACATCCACCATGACCCATCAGTGCAAGGTGGTAGCATAGGGCTTAGTTTGCCTTTCAGGTGGATTTGTCAGTCTTTTTTCTCTGCCCCTTTCTCTCTTGTTCTCCCATTACTCCAATAGTAGCATAGAGAGAAAATCTTGCTCCATGTATTTCACAGCTCTGGGAAGAGGAGAAGTCTCTTATCTTTCCCTTTGTGTTTATATGGGGGAGAAATTGTCTGTATTGAATTATTTATGACCAGCAGAAGTTTGTAAAAAATAGTCATGCCACAGAATAAGAGAAATATTAACTAGATTCTAGGCCAGTTGCCTAACTGGCTGCCCCTTGCATCCTGCTGCTACTAGGTCTTGCCTCCTAGGCAGTAACACTGGTGAACAAAAGCTTGGTGGACGTGGATGGTGATTTGAAAATAACCAGTGTGTAACAGCTAAGGGAAATACAGAAAACATAAATAGAGCAGATGCCTGAAATGAAAAGGCAGTGAATTCCTGTTTTCCATGTGACTAAGGTATTTTCTACTTCCAAGAATAGTTCTAAATTCAGCATTCTGTGCAGCTGCACCAGTGCTGACCCTGGTTGAGCTGCAAGGATAGCCAAGGACATGCAGGGCTCTGCACTGACTGAACTGTTTGGGGCTTATTCTATTCTGAACATAAGTAACCCCATTTAACATAATCAGTGCAAACCCCAGTGCAGCTTGCTCTTCTCTGTGTTGGGGGTCAGCAGGCACTCAGATACTACAGCAATGAGAATTTACATATATTGTATATACTCGTTCATTAGCCTGTTTGTTTATAAGCCGACCCCCCAAAATGGATAGGTAAAAATAGCAAAAACTGCATGACCCTTTCATAAGCTGACCCTATATTTCAGGGGTTGGAAAACTTTGGCTCCCGGCCCATCAGAGTAAGCTGCTGGCGGGTTGGGATGTTCTGTTTATCTGCAGGCATGGAGCCCCTCAGCTCCCCGTGGCTGCGGTTTGCCGTTCCCAGCGCCACTTCCTGCAGCTCCCATTGGCTGGGAACGGCAAACCGCGGCCACAGGGAGCTGAGGGGCTCCATGCCTGCAGACGCTCCCGGTAAACAAAACAACAATGTATTAGATAGTCAATTAAATGATTCCATAGACTTTAAAATCATCAAATTTTGGTGTAGACCCGTTTATAAGCTGACGCCCACTCTTTAATGTGTCACTTCTTTACCAAAAATATTGGGCTTATGAACGAGTATATATGGTAAGTACCTTGGATAAATAAATGGTTAACAGTTTAACTTTTTGTGGGTGTGGACAGGACTTTAGAACCCACTCACACACTGTCTCTATAAAAAATCCTGCTCCTATTACAGTCAGAGACATTAAGTCCAGACCACTGAGAGCTATGTTTAGTGGTGTGTTTCTGGGTTGTTGAGAGAACTTACTGGAGATAATGTTCCATTATAAAATAATAACCTTTCCTTTCCTCCTGTGTTCTCTCCTCTTCCACATGCAAAGGATTCTGATCCGTTTTTATCCACTGGAGCCTTGGCAGATTGGCAAGAAAGGAACTGTCATGACTTTCTTATGATCTCTTCAAGAAACCCATTAAAAAGAAACCCTTGTGGAGGGCACAACCCCAGGATGGCCAGCTCTACCTGTTTGTTTCTACGCAAGATCTTATATGTATCCTTCTACACCTCCACTCATGTAGTTCCTTTCTGTTTCTGCTTCCTGTGTGCACACAGCTCCAAAGTGGGGCTTACCAGCCAAACTCTTTGACAGTAACAGTTGGAAGTCTTTGTCTCTCACCTGTCTTGTGGCCCAGAGACAATGCAGTTACCTATGATCTCAAACAAAACTTGAATCGAGAGGTTTGTGTAGCTGGGAGTTTGTTTTGTCATCAGCAGCGTCATGATGGCCTTCCTTATTTGGATCCAGTTAATCCAAGTTTTGTAGTCTTTTCCTTTAGCAGTGAACAGTTCTTTATTTCTGTTGCATGATTGGCATCATTGATAACTGACTGGGGAGGTTCTCCAGTTTTGTTCAGCCTGAGGGCTGCTTTGCAAGAGAAAGACAGGTCCTGTCATGTGCTAACCTTTTCTCTTCCTTGTGAAATTCTGTCTGTTCTAGGAGTCCATGGGCCATATCTTGAGAGTTTATGGGCTTAACTTCACCACCAGATAGAATGCTGATTGGGACCATGTCCCTGTAGACTCTTCTACACCAGAAGTCACTAAATGTTGCTCATTAGTCTGGCAATAGAAACTAAACTAAGGCCTGGTCTACACTAACCCCCCAATTCGAACTAAGGTACGCAACTTCAGCTACGTGAATAACGTAGCTGAAGTCGACGTACCTTAGTTCGAACTTACCGCGGTCCAGACGTGGCAGGCAGGCTCCCCTGTCAACTCTGCGTACTCCTCGCGCCGAGCAGGATTACGGGCGTCGACGGGGAGCACTTCTGGGTTTGATTTACCGCGTCCAGACAAGACACGATCAATCGAACCCAGAAGTTCAATTGCCTGCTGCCGAACCAGCGCGTAAGTATAGACAAGCCCTAATTCACAGTAGTTAGCCTAACTTGCTGCCACTGGAGGGCAGAGATTCAAGGGGATCTGAGATCTTTCACTTCCAACTTCCGTGAACATTTCTTCCATTCTAAACCTCCCCCCCACCCCCACCCCATTTCTGGGAAGAGAGAATATTGGTCTGAGGGAAGAATCTTTTAACTCGTATGGGATGGCTGGGCTAGGGTTCCTCTCTAATCTCCTGCTCTGAGCTCTACTTCACTAGGATCATTGGCTTGCACAGGTGGATGTTCCCATGTTCATTCAGTAGACTCCTGTAGTTTAATATCAATGTGCATATTGTGCATTGGGGTATGTGTGGAAGGAGGGCTTCTTATTGCAGAATCATTTCATACCCTAGGACGTGGAGCCCAGGAAATTGTTTTGCTGGTTCAGGTAATTAGTTTCAATTCCTGTAACTTGTCTCCTTGTCCACAGTACTTTCCCACAACCCTCTCACTACAGTGAGCAAGATCAGAACACTTTATTTTACGAATGCTTTCCATGTCCTGTGGGTGGTGGAGAGGAGCTGATGAATTTACACATAACTGACTTCTTGGAGTGCCTGTTTTTTTTTTTTTTTCTTTTTTTTCTGTATTAGACCCAGGACTTTGCTCCATCTGCTCTAATGTCCATTCTCTTAGTAGGGGAGTTTTCCCCTGGGGGCCTTTAGAGTTGGTCACTTTATAACTGGATTATACATAATATTTTATTTTAAAAAGACCCTCAACCCCCTAGTTATCATCGTCTATGGGATTTCCTTACTTTTGCATTTCACTCAGCAGAGATAATGAAGATAGAGTTGTCAGTTTCATTTATAGTACTTTCTAAGGTCCAAATCCTGCAAACATTTAGGCATGTGAATAGTTACACTGAATTCATTGGGAATACTTATGTGAATAAGTGTTTTGAGGGTCAGGATTAAATTGTTCATTTTCTGGTTCTGATGTACTACTACAGTGTTTAATTGTCGGGTATTTACAGCATTGCAAGGGAATAATTACATTTAAAAATAAACGAATTTCCTCTTTCATTGCTCACAGAACACTTTTTATTCCAGTTAGTGTTTGTAATTTTTTTTAACACACAATCAAAAATTTGGGTGTCAAGTTGGAAGTATCTTTCATTTATTCAAAAATAACTGAAACCAATGAGGTTATTCGAAAATAATTAAAACCAAATGATTTATTAATATCTGAAGCTAGTTACTATACATGCAACATAACGTTCTTCCATTGTTGCAAAATCACTGTCCTCTAAAATCTGCACTAAGTGCAGATTTATGTGTTAGTGTCATGAGTTGGGCGTTTATCTGGTCAATAAAACTTTTATCAAAATACTTTTAGTCTGTGTCGATTCACTAGATTATCACAATACTTTAATTTTGTTTCCCTTTCTGCTTGTATCTCACTCACCCTCTCTAAGCACACTTGTAGATAACACAGCTGTCCATGCTCCCTGTTTATTTTTCTCATGAGGTCTTTTCAGTTAAATGCTTTTAAAAGGAGGATAGTAAATTAAACAATTGTGTGTCACTGAGCATATGACCAGTGATCTTAGAAATCCATTTGCCATGGAAAAAAAGCTGAATTTGCATTTTTACAAAGAATCTTTAGTTTTTACTTTTTGTGAAAAATAAAAACATCTTAACTACATTTTACTGAAAGTACTTATGTCACTTACTCAGTGTGCGCAACCTCCTCCTCTTGTGGTTAATTTTTGAATGTGCTTTAATTTATGTAGCTAAACATACTCCAATAAACTGTTTCCAGTGTAGAGAGGTTATTCAATTGTGTATGTGGGGTTCATTTTTTAATGCATCTCAAATTTCACTGCAGCCTCCAGCTGTGAATGATTAAAGTTATGAAAAGATGCCAAAAACTTAAAAAATCACCCAAAGACAGTGTGTCTCTGCATTTGGCAAGGGCAAATTTTATGTTGATGGTAATGTGCTGTTCTGTACTGTATGCAGTGAGGTTTTAGATTACATTCGAAGGCAGACAATTGCAGAACGCACAAAGTGCTAAACATAAACTGAATGAAAAAAAACAAAAATGAGACTGAAACAGCAGGTCCATCAACAGTAAAGAAACAATGCACTGTGATTGGATCATTCCAGCGTTTTTGTGCATTTAAAAAAAAAAACAAATTTCTGAAAATATACAATACAGACATAGAATTATTTGGTATGTGTATGAAATGCAAATTGCAATGCTATTTATTTTATTATAATGATTCATGGCACTGGTAGGCTTCAAACTTGCTTAAAAATTGTAAATATATCAATAAAATATTGTGTTCAACTGTTACCTATATATCGTGGCTAGGAAAACTAAAGTTCAGCATTTCATTATAATTATGGAAAATACGGATTTTTATGTTTATCAGAGAAGTGTGTGTGTGGGGGGGGTTTATCATGGAAAACTAGGCTCCCTGCATATGACAAACTTAAAGCTGTAGCTGATCCTATTACTACCCTGGCTCCAGGCAGGGGGACAGTACTGCCCATGTCCCTATGAGCGGCTCAAAAAAGTGGAGGCGAACCCTTTGTGACAATGTGAGAAAACCCAGTAACCTCAATGTTAGCATTACAGAAATGTAGCTTTAATTCTGGTTTGTAAAGTACTTCCCTTCTTGGAGCCTACAAGTTTTAACTTCCCTTAGAGCGAAAAACAGGATTGTTGTCCCAGCTCCCCTTGCTGGGCCTTGTTGGCTTCCGATACAGACTAACACGGCTGCTACTCTGAAACCTACCACTAGTTGTTTTTAGAGGCTGTTTCTCCTTCATTGCTTCTCCTGTTAGCTGCTTTGTGGCTCTCTCATTGCTATAAAAGGGCAGGCACAAGAAGAGGCAGTCTCCACACAAGCTCTCTAGCTCTCAGCAGCAGCTTCACTCCATTGCCCTGGGGTGTATAGATAGACAAAGGAGTGGAAAGGGGATGGATACCATCTGGAGGGATTAAAAGTGGGAAGGAGCTTGCCATGCAAAGATAGCAGAAGAGAATGACTTCTGAGCTTGTTCCAACTGCTGGAGGGTATTGTAGGCCAGAGGGGTCCCTGCCCCCTAGAAGACAACAGATAAAGGGGGAGCAGGGCATATTTAGAGGAGTGGTAGGTTTGTGGAAGGAAAGTCTTGGGTGTTGGTGGGAGTCTCAATAGGTTCAGACAAGCACCTGAGCTACCATTACTTTGGTTTCTCCAGTCACAGACTTGCTATGCAATGTTGACTATCTGTTTCACACCCCCAGTATGTCTGTGACATTATATTAGTGACAAAACATATGTACTAATGCAAAATCATAATGTAAACTGGGGCAGGGAACTTACCGAGAGCTTCGTTGCTCATGGACTTTGCATCTTTTGTAAGAGAGCAGTTAAAATATTAAACCAAAGTGAGTGAATGGCTGGGACAGATTGTTTTTCTCAGCCTGAGCCCTCTTATCATTTATTTGGCTCTGGCAAATGCAGGGGGTGGAGTGGGATCAAAGCAACGATTATGAGTTGGTACCATAAAATCACTGTAGGCTCTCCTACTCCACAAACTGCTAGTGCTGAATGTTCTCTATGATCATGTTGGCTAGGGAAACAGCCATTTAGCTCCTTCACTCTGAGTGAAGTTTAATGTTTTGGGGCTTGAGGAGGAAACTGGCATAGGGAGGTCATGCAGGCCCCTTAAATCCACAAACTGAAATCAGTACACAGCCCTGCATAGTACAGTATAGAGAAACCAAAGGAAGCAGTAAACATTTGTTTACGCTGAAACAGCCCAGTTACTTAGATCTGTTACTCTAGGTCCAAGAAAAGCAAATGTACCAACTGCCTAGGTCTCAATAGGAATTATTTAAACCTCTGTTCCCCACAAATTAACCCCCCAAATTGTCCAGCTTTTCTTGCACGCTGCCTGCCATCTGATCCCCAACGTCACTCAGCAAGAGATCTTTTTACAGTTTCTAAATATTTCAAGCCTTGAACTTCAAAGAATTTGGCTACTGTTTCTAAGGGTCAGTGATCTTTATTGGATTGTTCAAAATCTCTGTAC